TTTGTTGTTTAACGCTACACTCAGCAATATTCCAGCTATATGACGTCGACCTGTACACAATCGAGTCAGGCCAGTGAATGATGTGATGATCAAGGATACAAGCCATTGGCACGTCATCAACTAAGTCACCGAGCCCGACCACCCGATCAACTAATTCGCATTTAACGATTATTTCCATCGCAGATTCAAATGGGTTTCAGTTAAGAACTCCTCACGACAATCAATTGGAATATGTGAACAGATTCAACCCCAAATTCCCTCGGAGTCTTGAATAACATCGGCGATATATATGGAGAATCTCACCCAAGTGTCTTTAGATATCAAATATATCTATTAGGGGTCGATAAAAATTTTAAACTTTCATCGACGAGTGTTGATATATTTGATATCAAAAGACACAAAGGTGAGATTCTATTGATCATTCAAAATGAGTGTTCCAACTTTTTCAGTTTGCAGACAGCATTAAGCAGTGTCTTCAGTGTAAAAAGTACTGCTAACAGCGCCATTAGTGATGTCATTTGATTATGACAATTGTAACAATGACGTCACAATGTTCTGCAAAGGATTGTTATACAATTTCATTGCAGCTATATCTACAATGTAGATATCGCTTGATCTCAACCTGCGATATATCCTGTGGGAGCCAGTTAAATATATGTAATGAAATTCACAAAATAATTACACAACAAAGATTGTTCTACATGTTTCAGATTTATCTTCAGGGACAAGTCATTGATCTTTCTTCCAGTTCAAGTCCCAGGGCCACGGCTATATGTACAACTATCACATGGTTATTGAAGATGACCTTACTTCATCATTCTTCCAATTCAAGACACCATGGCAATCTTGGGTTAAATGTATTCCCAGCATCCATTGGTAGTCGTAGGAGGCGACTAAGCTGGTAATATACAATGCCACTGGGTTTTGAACTGGAAGTGGGATGAAATTACTTCTCCCTGAAGATAAAGCTGAGACATGTAGAAGAACGATCCGTGTCGTGTAATTATATAGTGAATTTCTTAACATGTGCGCTACTTTACACCAATGAGTGAGTAAGTGAGTTTTTACGCCGCATTTTACAATATTCCAGTCATATCGCGGCGTGTCAGCTGAATGTGGGAGGAAATCCCGAAGTGATGCAGGTCTCAGACGTTTAACACCTCGGTGAAACTCACGAGCACGGGTATGGTGCTGACAAACCTAGAAACATAATCGGGTCGAACCGGGATTCGAACCTACAATCATAGGTTTCTGGCGTGCTCAAGGGACGCAACTCTGCACAGGGAATCGCGGCGCCTTAGACGACTGGGCCACCCGTGCCCCCTGTACACCAGTGAATCGCACCACTATATATATATATATTCGACTAGCAATAGTTGCTGGCAATACATTTACCCCCCGATTCCCACGGTGTCTTAAATTGGCTGAAATATCAATTAAGGTCATCTTCAATAACCATGTAATAGCTATATATATAACCTGAAGGTATTAAAACATCTATAGGAATACAATACTACATTCACGTAGAACGTGTGTCATTATTTATGAAAACCATAGTCTGCACACGTAGTTTGCTTCATATTTTGACATGTAATTAACTTGTATTATAAGACGTTGTCAGATGCCTAATGAAAAAGAACACTCGGTCGATTTTCCCGACTCCAATCTTGTCTGCAGTGTTTGGCCCTGCTTTGAAGTCGTATCACTGATAAGAATAACATCGACACTGACTAACTTGCATGGAAACTATATGTTTCGATCAATGCCATCAGGAAAACAACAGTCGTGTATCTGTCATGAGGTAACCATAGTATAAAATTACTTAAGAAATAAACGAGTGGGAGTTGTTTATCGTACAATGAAACACTACAGAGTGAATAAACCATGAGGGGCGCATGGTACAGATACTCGACGTGAGGATTGTGAGAAAATACTGGAAATACCAGTACCAAACCCACCTGTTCATGACAATCGACTTGTCCGACATTGCCGAGGTTGGATTCTAGTCAGGAAGTCATCATTATTACAAGATGGGTAAATAGTTTTAGAGCTTGTATATTTTGTCATCAACCTTAAAGAGGCTGTACATTATGTTTATATATCTTATTGTCCCTTATGGTTTATTCTCCCTGTAGTGTTTTATTGTACGATGAACAACGACCACGAGTCGTTTATTTGAAATATGAAATATATACATAATGTACAATGATAAAATGTACAAGCTTTAATGATATGTACCCTATTTTAATAATGATGACTCCCTGAATAGAATCCGATCTCGGCAATGTCGTCAATTTTATGAACAGGTGGGTTTGGCATTGGCATTTCCAGCATATTCTCACAATCCTCACGTCGTCCCAATACCGATTGTCATATCTCTCCTATCTTTGGATGAGATCGTTCGGCCTCTGTGTTTATCTGCATTGCTCAGCTAAATCTTCGAGGAGCAACTCACCAGACAATTCCTTGTCAGAAATAACGTTGTCCAATATACGCCGCGTACGTCATCAAGTTACGAGCGCATGTTCGAATCTCCAGAAAAGACGTCATGATAGATCAACGTTTAATAAACCGCGGTTCGTTCTTCATTGTTCTTTGTGATTTATCGCGTAGCTATCTTATAAAAACAGATAAATGACCTTTGGATCGTAACTCTATTACCTTAACATAGACCTACAGCAGTCGTAGCGCTGAGGTTGTTTTGTATGACGGCACCCTGGGCCATAAAACCAATTCCCTTACAGGTCTTGCTTGTAGTGAGTTACTGTCGCTCACTGTAGTGAAACAATAGGTATATATTTACGGTAACATATCTATTATGATCAAGGCAAACAACCTTTGAAAGGAGTGAAACGATTACTGGGCATATGAGGAACCTATGTGCTCTATGCCCTTGGAGATTCTGGTCCCCAGCAAACTGTGCTGCTCCTAATTATAAGAGGCGACTAAATGGCACAGCTGGTCAAACTCGATCACTTGGTTGGTTGTGTGTCATCCAATCCCGGGGAAGTGGATCGTTGCTCACAATATTGATCACTGGATTGTCTCAAGCATTTACAGCCCGCCTTTATATAACTGGAATACAATTGGATTTGATATTAACAACAAACAACGAATCTAACCAAATGAAGGTGTATAACGGGAGTGGATTGAAGAGGAGAAACCAGAGCCTAATACGGCGTGGTCGAAGAATCTACCACTTTAAGATCACTGTCCCGCATAACCGCTGGTAATTGTGTTCTAGACTATGTGACTGGCCCTCTTTAGCCTAGTGGACAACCATCGTCATACACACACCAGTCAAGGTCCTTGTCATTAGTAGCCTGGATACCCAGACGATCAGCTTAACGACTATCTAATGTGATAATACTACATGATGTTTTGGTTTGTTTTTTCTAATCGTAAAATCAAAGTTTCTAGACTGTTGCTTTTACTTACACATACTTGCCAAATAAACTTAAACACCACCTGAAACCTGTTAACAATACACAGGTATGTCTTAAGAACGTTATTTTGGAGGAATATATAGAGAATGGAGATGTCCTATGTGCACAAGTGCTAGTCAGTTTGTTCTGGAAGCTTCAATAATTCCTTTTTGTTTATTTGATATTTTCTTCTTTTATTAATTTGCATTTTGGACAAACGATGTTGAGAATTCACTATGTGATACGTATCATTCAGAAATATTTATTTAAGAACCCTCGGTACATATGTTTTGTATGGGTTTTTTAATATAAAACATGTTTACAATGTCTACGAATTCAAACGATTAAAAAAGGCTTTCTTTGAAATTCATACACGTCACAGCACGATGTTCAAAACAGAGACATGTATTTCAGTATTCATCACATATATGTTGGCATGTAGCCTAATTGTTCAAACAATTTGATGAGAAGGTATTGGGCTTGGTTGCGACTAAGTGATATTTCTATTATTACTCGTTGGCATTTGCGACGGAATTACCAAACGTTTGACTCACAACGTCACGACTGCATGAGTGATTAATCGCCATCGAAACAAAATGCTTTCATTAGCTTTTCAGCTTCGTTGTAACGTAGTGTTGTTTTAAGTCTCAGTTCTGGAATGCACCTCCTCCCTCTCGTTATCGATGCAGAGTGTAGTGCACACAGTCACAATGTATGGAATGTATGGCCATTACAACGCCCTTCAAATTTGGAAAGCAAGCGTTTTAATAAATTTTACCTTTTACAAATCACGAATGTATACAGTGGAGTTGGGATATTACTATTTTACATACATGCATGTAAGTAGACACTCACTCACTCACTCACTCACTCACTCACGTAGATACATGCTAATTGAAATCATTAACTATATGTGTTGTCATCATTGCAAAGTTACAGTGATGATATTCCTTAATAAGTTAGCTGTGTATTATAAGATGTAGTGTCACGAGGCACAGCTCCACAGCCCTAGAGCAATGTTGATCACACCTTGTTTCAGTTCCTGGTTTCGTGTCACGCACATGACGCTATTAACGAACTTCAAACGGTAACCAATCAAATGCCACACCCATTTTTGTATGTTGGACGGAAGAGCAATGTTGATCACACCTTGTTTTAGTTCCTGGTTTCGTGTCACGCACATGACGCTATTAACGAACTTCAAACGGTAACCAATCAAATGCCACACCCATTTGTGTATGTTGGACGGAAGAGCAATGTTGATCACACCTTGCTTCAGGTCCTGGTTTCGTGTCATGCACATAACGCTATTAACGAACTTCAAACGGTAACCAATCAAATGCCACACCCATTTTTGTATGTTGGACGGAAGAGCAATTTTGAATCACAAAACTCATTAAATTACAGATTACTGGAGTCGGAATAATCTCAAAGAGTTTATCCGACACACTCTCTCCTCTAACGACGTAGATCCGATGTCCTCGCGGGAATCACCAGGTCCTATTATTGACCGCCATACAAATGCCGGAACACTATAAAATGCGTGTACCAACAGCGAGCGGGCATTTGGGAGATAGCAGACATAAAGTCAGGATACATTGGCGATGTGGAGAGTATTATTCTCTAAACTTGCTTTCGACTCCCAACAGTGAGTATGATACTTACAATGTAGTATTGTAGTTAATAGTGTTATTTATCCGTACTTCTTCAGCTTTGTCGACAAGAACTTCACTGACGTCTACACGCACTATGTATTAATTCTATATTTCACGTTTAAAGTTTGCAGTCTGTAACAATGTATGCAGTATTTGTTTTATTGTTTCATTCATGAGTAATCTGTAAGGACGTCTTGTTAACAGTTTGTTTAACAATGTTTGCTATTCAACCACATGGTCTGATGTTTATAGAGGTATTGATTTTTGTAGAGGATAACACAAGATATTTTTATGTTGAGGCCGGATAAAATCGTCGGTTGATTGGAACCTTATACCCAACAGTCTATTGCCAGTTTAGATGGAACCGACAGTTGTTGGAGTAAGCGTCCACCAAATAAACGTTACTAATTATACTAATTATACATACATGGCACCTGTGATGGTCCGGGTTAGAACTGGTCTTCAGCAAACCATGCTTAAAGTTAGAGGTGATAAACGGGATCGGGTGGTCAGGCACGCGGACTTGGTCCTGTAAGTCTTTGTATCCCAATTGCGTAGATTGATGCTCCTGATGTCAATGGACTGCAGACTCAATTATTTACATCTTGATATGGAATAAATGTTGAGTTAAACAAATAAAAAACAAAACGTTCATCAAGGCATACCTATCAAATGTCATATCTTTATGTTGCTGGCGGATATATGTATCGCAAATTAAAACTTCGTTTATTGATCACCCTCTTCAAAGAAAACATTTGTGAATTCAACATAGCATGTGTATTCGAATCGACAAAACTTTTTTCTTCATATTTATGCCAAATACATGTTTTGAAGATCTATGTCTACAGTTGTCACAAGGTTAATATAAAAATTGTAAACTGTGAAAAATAACCCACTCTTGATAAGTATCCCTCAGGTGAGCTAACTTCCGTAGTTTCTGAGAAAACATTGCAGACACTATGCACCGATTAAAATAACATGGATCAAGTAACTCTGTAACTCTGTAAAAGAAATAATTTACAGGATCAATATTCGAACGTCTTGACAAGTATCTCATATATAAGCATGCAAACTCTCATTCGTGTAACTTCAGTAGTTTCTGAGAAAGGTTCTCCCCGTTTCATGCAGTACGCACTTAGTTGAAAAGCGTAGAGCAAGGGCCATAACTCTGCAAAAAACGAGCACGCAAACAGCCAGGCCTACCTCATACCCACCCATTTGATGATTGTGACAACAGAAAATTTATATGACTGTCTACAGGGGCACACTTAACTTAAACATGAGGCGATATCCCTATAAGAATGATATAAGTTCATAATGTGTATGTTAATATTAAGTTGAATAAAGTATGATACTTTGCCCTTGGTTTAATAAGCTAGGGATTGACGAACAGTCCGGTAATCAGCGTGGTATTAACACTGTAATCTCAATAGTCAGTGTCACTGACGCCATGGCATTTGATATCTAACAGAGCTTGGTTGTCTTTGCCGAATTACACCTATCCAAGCCATACTTGTGGTAAACTGATACCATTACTATAATGGTATAAATCGGTGGCTTAGTTGTGTCTGGTGTGTAATTACTGTTATTGCATTGGGGAATCTGTGTCTGGATGATGTCAATGATTACCGTCTGGACATTAAGTTTCCCTGGTATGAGTAATCTACTCTTTACGGAATACGTATCTAAGAGCCGAATACCGTTTTTTGTAAAGCTTTTTTTTATAATCATAAGAAATACATTGTACGATTCCGACCATATCATGAGCATGTGTTTATAAATCACTGTCCAATAGTAATGACACCAGGTGATCTCGAAAAGGTGTGCGTATCCTGTCCCATCTGTGGCACGCCTCACAAAAACATGCTCAGGCAAGTCAAGTGCCCACATGTCGACCATGCAACCTTTTGAAAGCTTTCTCAGGCCTTGAAAGCTGAAATCCTAAACATCTTTTTGAGTCGTATGACGCTTTTCGAAATATTCGCAGAAAGGGCATGCGCGATGGTACCCCAGACGCTGTGAAATCCCATGGCTGGAGCTGTTATAATATTGCTTGACATAAAGAGAAAGTTGTAAATGTGAAGTCATCCCTCTTTCCACTCACTCTGAATCTTTATGCATAGATCTAACTATGAAACAACTGTAATTACGAGGAGGGTTAGTTGATTTATTCTTCGCATAGAAGAAATTGCGTAACAGTAAAATCTTTGTTGCGGACATTCCATGATGTCACATCTATACCCAATTGAGCAAACTATTTAGTCTGTGACAAGTCTGTAAATTAAGGAGGGGTCTTGGGAAATGGACAAACTCAATGATCATGCTTTTTTTAAAAACGGGGCGTATTCCCAAAAGCCAAGATATGAATATAATACTAGGGAAGGATGCCCCTTTCAGTGGTGGGCAGCAGAATTTAAGCGTGGCGGGTGGAGCTTTGAAGACGACCCCCGTCCTGGAAGGTCTGGAACGTCAGCAACATCTGAAATGATCCAGAGAATCTGCAATTAGTGATGACGGACCTACGAATGACGGAGCGTCAAATTGCTAGTTCAGTTGGTATTTCCTAGGAGAGAGAACAATCCACCATCACGTTAACTTTGGCAATGAGGAAAGTCCAAAGCGTCTGACATCTGGCCAGAACGCACTAAGCACAACATGTCTCGTGATAATCTAGCTCTGTTTGCAGCTGATTCAGAAAGATTTATGCAACGTTTTGTGACTATTGATGAAGCCTGGGTTCGCAACTTCCAGTCTGAGTTCAAACAACAAGCAAAACAGTAGAAACGTTGATATCACCAGCACCTAAGACGATAATGCTTGTCCCATTATTAGAAAGGTTATGGCTTTCGTGTCCTGGGATGTCGAATTTGTCATTTAAGTGGACTATCTTCCAAAAAAGGCATACAATAAACTAAGCATATCATGCTGTAGTTGTAAGGCAGTTACGGGATTAACTTAAAACTAAGAGACATGTGAAGCTGCGAAAACGTTTGCTCTTCCATCAGGTTGCCGTTGTACAAAACAACTTTAGCACTGCGACTGTCGTAAGTCCATGTTCAGGTATGGGAGTTACGATCACCTTAGCTCTAAGATTGCTTTGCACAACGGCACCCAGGACAATTCGCCAGTGCACGGATCAGTCATTGTCATGGTCCCAATCCACTAGTGTGGCTTTGAACTACTTGTGGCATTAACCTTCTTCCATCTGTTCCCAAAAATGAAGAAGGCGTCGTTAAACTAAACTGAACACCCACCTAACTTTTTTACGCATGTTACACTTTATTGTACAGTGGTTGCACAAAGTCCTTTGACAGTTGAAAATAAACACGAGAAGGGTTAATCCTTCCATAATCGTAGAATTGTGTTTTCAATAGAATTGTCTTTTGATTATTCTCCAAACAATTGCTTCACGATGTTCTTCTTTCTGGCTGCATAAAAGATTAATATATCATTGGTTAATCAAGATCATTTCCTGACGAAAATGACACAAGGAAAACCGACTAAGTCAATAAAATCGATTTTAATGTGCACTTCGTTTTTACAAAATTTAGAGTGATTCATTTTCAAACCTTCCAAACGCAAATATTGAAACAAAAAACATGGAAATTCTATTTAGACGCATGATAATAATGACTTGTGTAAATCGTCATTGACAGTTCGCTGCGTGTTGTTAGTGGAACTGAGAATCCAATCGATGCCTCAATCAACGTATATGCTTCTTTTTTTCAGGGGTGTAACACGAGCAGTTAACGAATGCTGGCCGATGCGGGAATCCCTAGAGAAGGGCGAAGTGTGTTCTAAAGTGGTGCATAACATGTCCTCCTCAGCTGACTTGTAGGTGAATATATTCAGATATTAGCACACTATCTGAAGATGGCGTCAAACACGACACGGATTATCAATAACAGCGGTGACCTTATAAATGATTCTTCTTGGAGAGCTGTTGATAGCGTTGCTTTTGACATCCAGACATATTATCTCTGGGTTATTCTCGCTTTGGGATTCCCCGGTAACTGTGCTACCATCGTCACAGTCATCAAAATGTCCCCTGCAAGATCTCTTACTGTCTACATAGCACTATTAGCAGTTGTTGATAATCTTGCAATAGTCAATAAACTACTTCTGATCGTACTGCTGGATCACAAGATACACGTTGGACAACTGGGGTGTAAGGTTCTCGGGTACTTTGGAAATTTTCTTACCACCTTTGCTAACTGGCTGCTTGTTGCAATGTCCATGGAGAGATTTGCTGCTGTGTGGTTTCCTCTGAAAATCGGCCAAAGTTGGACATTTAAAAAATCCATTCTCGCAGTAGTGCTCTTATCCCTACCTTTGTGTATCTTGTTTCTTCATCTGTTCTGGACAATGAAGTTTCTTGTGGAAAAGGAAACTGGAACCTATCATTGCGATATCTATAAGGAATATGAATATTTCATGATGCACATTTGGTACTGGATAAATATCTTGGTATATGCATTTATACCTTGCATACTTCTTTTGCTCTTCAATCTGCTGATCATAGCTGGAATTGTGAAATCAGATAAAGAACAAAAATATTTGCATGGTAACAAGAACACCAATTCTGGTGTTGATCGCCATCGTCCAATCACAATTATGTTAGTAACAGCAGCAGCTGTCCTGGTTGTTCTAACAACCCCTAGATGTCTCATGCTTATTCTGACACCATATTGGAACCCTGATCATCAGAGTATGGAGGGTGCTGTAAAGTACCTCTTGGATACGTTGGCGTTTCTGTTATGTGACTTAACTCATGCCATTAACTTCTATGTGTATTCCCTAAGTGCTAAACGATTTCGAGGGCAGTTTATTGAGCTGTGTTTGTGTCGACACCACAAAGCCACGCAGAATCATACTCTAGATGTGAGTATTCCATGTCGAACATCAGTGAGAATAAGCATGAAGACACTTAGCGGCGAGAAAACAAGCATGTGAAGACAACCCTGTGTGTGGATTTAAATACGGGAACAATCTTTTCTGTGTTCATATTTGTTGGAACCACTTGTTCCTTGTGACAGTTGTACTTTAATATAGACACATAAAATCCCACGAACAGATTCCAACCTGTCTCGCAATCTATTCTTAAGCCTTTTCTTCTACAGACATATGTATCAGCGCGAATCTGATCAGCTGCCAAAGTAAGGTTTAATAATTAGGGTGATACATAATCCTACCCATGTTATACACCATACTTTACATTATATTATAGGTAAGCGTTTCCATTATTTTGTATTTCAGCAGAAAAAAACGATTAATTGATATGTCTTTTTTTAAAAAATGATTGCGATTCGATAATACTATTTCGATGAAATTCCTGGCGCATGCAGCGTCCACATGAATAGACACGGGAACATAAGGTACAAGTAAGAATAGGAAATTATAGCGGACATAATTTTGGTCACTTAAGCATGAAATTGTCCTTCACATGTCTACGAATACGAGTTAGTGTTGACACACCTGGAAACAGTATCAGGGCGAATGTAGGATTCCATAAAAGGTTTAAAAATGTCCCAAGGGATGCATATTGCAGCGCCTCAGACGACGTGACAACTATTATCCCGTAATTATTTAAATATTCGATGTGAATAAATAAAATAATACTATATAACATTTATGTCCATTGTCCATTGGATAAGCAGTCTCACTCGGATCAAAGACTCGGAAAGTTTAATGGTCGCAACAAAATAATTGACTGAATCTTCTCAGCACAAAGGTTCATATTATAAAAGACTTAGTGCGTCAAGCCTTATGAAGTTATAGGTATACCAGTCGGAGTGTAATATTTAATATATTATTAAAATAGGATGCCAAAATAACAAGAAAACGTATGGGTGATATCAAGTATTTAAATAATATAATAATTCTATTATATCAATTTATTTTCTAGGCAGCAACTTCTGATTGATCGAGGGGTTAACTTTGAATGGAAGATAATATTTAAAATGTCAATGTATGTATGTTTATGTTTTTGTATTCATATTTTTTACAGGAAAAAACTCTCAGAAAACTATTAGTTGTGAAAAGCCGTCATGTTTAACCATAAGGTTTTCAAAACGTTATGTAAGGGTAAATTATGCATAAAACGATTGTATTAGTCTAATATTTGTTTCAGATGACAGGGTTTTATTTCCAAACAACCTTTTATAGAAAATATGTTTAACATTGAAATAGATAATGGAAATAATAATCGTAAAAATGACCACAACTTCACGTAGGATCAATAACAACAAGGAGATCAAACATATGTCCATTGAGGTAACTACAATTGAGTTCCATTCTACAGTGAATGATTAAGCTATTTTTCTATCATCATTGAAATAATGGATGTATAGTACTATTCATATGTTTTTCGTAATAATAATAAATTGTATTAAATATGTTGTTCATCAAGTGCCATCCAACATATTCCAACCATGGACTGATGATGTCAAAGGTAATTTTCTACGTTCTTCCGTGCGATATAAAGGCACTTGAAATATGATGGATGATCTTGTTACATACGCGTAAGTGGCAGATATGTCAAAAGGAATTGAGCTTGATAAGTATTATGTCGTTTTATTACAGAACAGTTTGTGAAATACAGCCATTTTGTGATTTTGCCGGGGATCACTTAGTTAATAAAAACCCGTTTCATTATAACTTTTACTGTGACTCATTCCTCTTACAGATCCACATATGGTTTGTAAGGCATGTCATTGTGGTTTTTGTTCCGTAGTACGATTGTTCAACCCAATTTTCAAACAACAACACCTTAATAGAACAAAACAAACAAAGCGACTGTTACAAAATTGTAGGGCGGTAGTGCACACTCACGAAATATGATATCACGAAAGGGATAACATGAGAAAATGTGTCCTTCACCTTCGTTTCCATCAGTTGTCAGTTAAGGATAAAGTCTTCTTGAAATTGGTAGATGAAAAACTTGTTCCATTATCTCTCTCAAGTAATTGAGGATGACAACAAATGTTAAGGCGGTGGTTAAATTGGTAGATTGAAAGTCTCTCTTGATTGTTGAAACGCACCTCCTCTAAGGATTCGTTAGGTTCCAGTGGCAACATATTAAAAAACACCTTTGCAATTGGCGTGTGTGTGTGCGGCTGTGTACGTCTCATTGTACTCGTCCGGATTTCTGCCGCTTTTGTGGCACTAGCCCATTGAGATACCATGCTGCAGTTTATGACGATACCCCCTCTCCGACAGAGTATATTGGCTCCGAGCTGACCAGTCCTTGTTTCATCCCATTAATACCGAGCGCTAAGACGCGTAACAAGGACTATCTTTTAACGTCAAGTCGTATGGTATGACGCAGCCGGCTTTGAACCACCGACCTTCTGCTCTTCAGACAGGTGCCATTTTCCATTAAACCAAGAAGGCGGTCACTAAAGCATGGAAGTGCTGAAACAAAAAGGGCCCACTCAGCGTACATATTCTTTCCCGTTTCAAAACACATCAACTACATGTACAAGAAACACATTAATTGTGTGTAACAAAAGTTAATTTCACTAGTTCCGAATTTTTAAAAATATACTACCAGCTTCAGCAGAAGACTGTCTCCGTGGTGTAGTGGTACAGCGTCCCCCCGGTTAGCGGAAGGTTCGGGATTCGCAACCCGGCCTCGTCATACCAAAAGGCGTTAAAAGACGATACTTGTTGTTACCCTGCCTGAAACTCGGCATTAAGGGGCTCAATCAAGGACTGGTCGCCTCGGAGTCAGTTTACGAGTCTGGTATTCATGTTAAACTGCTGCATGGTATCTCAGTGGTCCAGCACAATAAAATATAAAATCGGCATTAGTCCGAACTACGACAAGCTGCCACACACACACATATGCATGCACGTCTCAATATAAGTGCATTAATCTTGAACGCGACGTTAAACCCTATTTCACCTCACATCACCAAAAAGAACCCATGTCTACGCCCGTTAGACAAAATCAAAGTTCTCTTCTGTTAACAGAAATTTGAGTCAATCAACACTAGGCTACAATCAACACTAGTCTAAACGGTTCTTTTTGTTGAAGATAAAACGATGCGTTTTCCGAGCTTCTTTAAGTAAAGCGAATGTATCTATTTCCTCTGTTGCCTTCCATACATATTCGGAACTCCACATCCATCAGTTGAAATGGTTACCAACATGCTCTAACGCACCAGGGAGATACAGATACAGCAGAGCACAGTAACTCTAGGGTACTGGAACCAAGCTGTTGTAATTACTATAGTAAAGAGACAACGAATGCCAGCTGTGAAGTTGAATACGTGTGATTGCCAAGTCTGTTTACAGATACTAGAGCCAATCAATTACATTCATTATACACATCTGTACACATCTGAGCTCCATCATTTCTGGAATACCCCGTTGTGACATAACTGCTATACTGCTAAAAGCGCCGAAAACCACCTGACTCACTCTCTCATTGACCACCCTCAGTACATGCTATCTGAAGTGTTTTAAGTTGCCGAACTCTGAGAGTGTAGGCTCCCCCCCCCCCCCCCCATCCACCTCCCCCACACACCAAAAGCAACCAGAGGAAAAAAAGAAAAAAGACAGACTGATAAATTGTTATTCATTATGATGAGGCCACTGGCCCAAATACATTAGCATAGCACCATCTGCACAATATATTGTTGTACATCATATATATTTGTACAAAATTCTTGTATTTATATCAAGAATAATTTAAGGAACAGTATATTACTTATTTGATTTACCTTCAAGAGGAATACACTGATGTTCAGCAATAGTTCATAATCTTGTGATGAAATGAAAGAGTGCATAGATGGGGTGTTCATATAATTTCCCATTAAGTTATTTTGGGGCGAGATTTTATATTTGTTCACACACCATCAAAACATGCAGTTCATCTTCAATAAAATATGTCCCTTACTGAAACAATATGAACAGTCTTTCTTCATTTGTTGTAGAATGGTGTCTTTCTGTAGTCACTGCAATGTACTTTACTAAGAAAGTGTAATCCCAAACATAACATTTGTTGCAGACCTGCCAGATTGTGTTCCAGATTGTGAAGCACAAAAAGGCGACGGCGCTAACAACAATCGAAGTTCATCCAGCTGGTCAAACGTTAAGGCCATCCTTTCAGCTTGTGATTCCTCAACATCCACTGACACACGAGTTGTGTGTGAGCTTCAGTCCAATAGCTGTAGATGATGCCACACCATCGCTGACCCATCACCGCATCGATCATGCTAAGCTACACTGCCAATGGCGATTCACGAACTCGTCTCCAATTACAAATCCAGCACCCTGTGTGGAGAGAAACCTCTATTCGTTATCGAAAATAGTGTGATCTTCATACGCCGTTTTTTTTACGTCATATCAAACTAAAATTACTTGTGTCCATTATCAATCTCTTGGATTGGGATCTCCGACGTCACTGTCTCAATTCTTACTGCTTACCATTTGTGAGCTACTTTTGTGTATTGTCTCGGCCTCTGTAATGATACGGGGGCACGAGTGAACCAGTCGTCTTAGGCGCCGCGACTCGCTGTGCAGAGTTGCGTCCCTTTGGCACGCCAGAAACCTATGATTGTAGGTTCGAATCCCGGTTCGCCCCGCTTATGTTTCTAGGTTTCAAACACCATACCCGTGCTCGTGGGTTTCACCGAAGTGGTAAACGTCTGAGACCTGCATGACTTCGGGTTTTCCTCCCACATTAAACTGACACGCCGTGATTTGACTGGAATACTGATGAAGCGGCGTTACTCACTCACTCTGTAAGGATACGACATAACAATTATCCTTTATTCTCTTATATTATATTGCGACGCATGGCCTATCTTCACCTTAGCGTCTCCTTTTTGGCAGAGGTTCCGCTGAATAATCACTATGTGTTTTAAGCTTATGATAAGAACTTTGTCACGAAATGTAATAAAAAAGGCTACGTAATTTAACACATGTACAGTGTTGTACAGTTGGGATAGCCTGTGTTTTCACTCTACGTTAAACACAGTTAATATCATTTTGCGTCGTCCTCAATTCTCGTGACACGTACACAACATCTAAGATCTTTATCCGCTACCATGAACGACGTTATGTTTCATTTCAGTTCCCACTCAGACCTTGTAGACTACGGATTACTTCTAAGGAGTCATGTTAGACACAACCTGTCATAGCTTAAGTACCCTCGTTTGGCCAGCGCGTCCCTTTTTGAGACGGCTTCTGTTGAAAGCATTTTCTCTCCTGTAACAGCTATTCACTTGAAGGTAACGGGCAGTTGACACATTCTTGTATAGCATGTGTGTAAGCCTCCTCAAACTCCTCATTAACTCGAAATGGAAAACTGTGATTATGTCCGCAACATTGCTCAAAGCGGTTATTACTTGTGTTTGTAAGTAACTCTAACGGCTTAAATACGGTAACAGTATTAATCTATATAGGACGGAAACCGATGTACAAGTTGTGGAGGAAAGTTGCAGCTAGTATTTGCGATGGATACTAGGTGTCACCTACAGCTCTAAAGTATGGCCGCGGGAGTAAAGTGTCAGACCGTCTTTTCCTGAGGGAAAGCGTGAAAGTTACATTGCATTAAACCTCAAGGCAAGCACGCTATCGTGGCGTTATTGATAAATTGCTTTGATACGTCTTTCATGGTAACCTACATATTTGTAGACCTGACCTTTCGGAGACAAACAGTCTCTCGATATGTTATAATTATATATAACGGTGTTGATATTTAAAACAATTATGAACGCCAGATATAGCATAACTCTTTTCACTGTAACAATCCAGACGAACAGCGTAGAAATAATTGAAGAGTTGGGTAGTCAATCATGTGCATTGGTGAGCCATTCTGATTGATAGAGTAATCAGGCGATAAACATATTGCGTTTTCAATGTGTAGCTGAAATACTTGCTGATTTACCCTATTTTCAAATTGAATTTTTTACCAATCTAGCATGACTAATAAACAACTATGGTGTGAGGAAATATTGAGTGAAACGGCATCGGCTCTACCGAGTTCATTGAGCCCGGTGTTTTGAGTAGGCTGTCGATCTGAATTACGGAATCACCGACAATAGCCTTTAAACAAAATATTGCGCTGTAAGGGCTTTAAATATATGTCGCTACAGCACAGAAACCTCGTCAACTAGCATGAAGTCGGCACCCCTGGAGAAAACTAAGTCTTGCCAGGTTTCGTTCTATACCTCACGCCATGACGTCAAATCGCCCACTGGGACGCAAAAAGATGA